CGCACGGAGTCATCACCAGACGCAACCCTCCCTCCACGCGAGGTGTTTGGTCTGCTCTCCTTGTGGTGTCGCAATATCTGTATGATCGGCCACTCAACATCCGCCAACGGCACAGCACCAGCCCCAGGTGCGGGAGCATCGCACAGCGCGCTCTCCCAGCAGATCATACCCTGTTGCATAACCGCACGGCAACCCCAATTGTGATGCGCAGCCCTGAGGCGGAGATGCAAAGAGTCATGCGGACAGACCTTCTTTCACTGCTCTCCTTTCGGGGAACTCGACAACAAGCGTGCCGGCGGTGCGATCATTATGACAGTTCCATCCGCACTGCCACTGGCCGAGGAAGTTACTGTGAGCTCACTGCGTAGAGGTCACCGTGTCCGCCGCTGCTCTCCCGCCACCCCACGACCACGCCGGCACTTCCAACAAAGCGGATCGGAACGTCGACAACGGCAGCCACAGGCGCCAACACACCGAGTCCAATGGTGCCCGCTGCGACATTCCAAAGTGCGCCGAAAGCTCCTCTAGCAGTGCAGGGGCTGCTCACCTGTGTGCAGCATGGCGTGTGTGCATTTGCTTGTGATTGTGTGTTTGGCAGCGTCTATACATCCAGAGTAGCTGTGCCGCACAAGAGAGTCAGAAGAAAGCAACGGCAGAGAGAGAAGCGGATAGCACACACGCAAATTACTCATATCATAACACACACACACACACACACACACACGCAGCCCGCGGAATGGGTGCACTCAAACAAAACACAAGTAAAACAATAAAAAAAGGAAAAAAAGCCGAAGCGTGGGACGACCAGCGCACACACTCTCATTGCTCCCGTAAAGCAAAACACACACACAGGGAGAGAGAGAGAGAGGTCGCCCACTCAATGCAATGGAAACAAAAAACAGAAACAGTTACGGTGCTCCGCCCATGCAGTCAGGCAGGACGGCAGCGGTGCGTGTGGCGCAAAAGAGAGCACCAACGGGCCTGCATGGATATGCATGCGTATACAAAATGGGCACATTATGTGTGTGCCTCGTGGGGTGAGGTGAGGGCGAGAGTCCATGCAAGGGGACTCACACACACAACAAGAGGCACAGCTGGATGGCAGCGGTACATGCGGTACGGCCCCGACATCAACAATCACGCACGGTGGCAGCACACAAAATTCAAATTAAAAAAAAAGGCACACAAAAAAAAGGGTTTAAAAATTACGAACAAAAAAATGTTATCCGGGGAATATTTCGTTTCCGGGAGGACAGTAATTCTGTGCAGGGAAGGTCGCAGTGTCCCACGCGGCAGCCAGTCACTCCTCACAGAGCCGCAAACCCCCACAGTCCCAACAGAAGAACAAGCGATGGCAGCACCTCGTAGCCAAACACAGTGCCGCCATCACCATGTGCCCCACTGTCACGAGCGGCAACGCCATCCGTTGCTCCCGCCGCCAAATGTTCAGCAGAGCACTTCCGGCGAGACACCACGGGTGAAGAGGTACGCGCAGCCACATTCTTCGGAATAGAAGCTTTGTTTGCGTTAAGCGCATTAATCTCATTGCCATCCAACGGGCGGTTGTACAGTAGGACGTTCGTCACAGTCACAGACACGTCTTCTTTGCTCCCTGTTTTGTCTCCATCCCCTCCAATGCAGAAGTGGGAGACCACATTAATATCCGTATTTTTCAATTCACATTGCGCATCCTTACACACAAGTTTACCATTAACGTAGATCGAGCCCTGTTTGCCGTTCTGTAGCACAATCGCCACCTGGTACTTTGCATCTGTCTCCCAAGTGCCGCTGAGCTCCTCGGTCTTTCCGCCACCCTGCAACAATTTCCACTTCTTTTCTTTGTTGTACGACAGTCCCAGAAGTACTGGATTCTCTGCGTCATTCGTCTTCACACCCATCAAAGGAATGGGAGTATCCTCCTTCGTCGGGACCTTGTGGATGGACACCGTCGCCACAAGAGTGAAGTTGTAGTTCGCGAAGTGGTACAGCTGATTCTCCCCCTGACTGCCAAAAGGCCACTCCGCCCACGCTCCTTTGAACGTCACTCCGCCAGCATGCAATGTTGCCTTCGCAGCCCCTTCATTATTATTTACCGTGGCGTTCACCCCGAGGTACTCGTCCCTCCATGTGTTACCAGAGAAGTTGCCGGACAAAAAGCCAACCAGCCCATCCGTGATCTTAACACCGTTGTAGTCATTTTCAGTTGAACGGTCCTTCTCAGCACTTGAGGGGCACAGCTGGGAAACGCTTTGGTCCACTTTATTCCAGGTCGCCACCACCTCCTTCATCCGCTTCAGCTGCTCACTCAGACGCACAGAGACCATACCAGGTGATGGTTTGCCCTCATCGCCCTTCTTCTCGTACAGTGCAATCAACTCCTCATTATTATTGGTTTCACCACTTTTACCACTTTTGTACAACAGGGAGCTGGCGGCAGCATCGTCCCCTTCCCCGGGTACCGGCCCAATATCAACAATGTGCGTATTGTCCGTCAGCCAAAGATGGAGTTCACCCTTTTGAGCGCCTCCCTTCTCAAGCTTCTCGGAACACACCGGCAGAGTAACAAGCATCACGTCCCTGTTCTCAATCGTCGCTGTGATGAACCCGCTTCTAACGCCCTTCTCATGTAGCTTACGGTTGTTGCCCCACACGCGCGAGAGTGTCCCGAGGGCCTCCGTCCACGACTCCCCTTGTCACCGATCTCGTACACCCTGCGGCGGCCATCATCACACGCAGTCATCATCATGAGTTTTTTGTCCTTCCACCCCACGACGGAGGGATCACTGCAGCCATCGTCAGACATCCCCTTCGACAGCGTCCAATTTGCAGCATCCGAGGAGTATATGAGCAGCGAAACATTGTTATTCCTTCCACCCTCCGCAGTGCCATTAACCTTATTCTCCTTCACGGCCTCCATTGCGAACACAAGCGTACCGTCCTCCATCTTAACACCCGATCCGCCACCGCCAATGTGTCCTGTCAAAGTGTCATCGTTTTCACCGATAACATTGCACAAAATACTGATAGTATCATTCCAATAAATTCTTTTGGTACTTTCATCCACACCACTGACGTTTCCTTTCACCAGCAAAAGTCCCCACTGAGCCACGCCAGCCACACCTACCTGACAATTAGAGAGACCTTTACCCATGTAGACTCCAGCAAGCATGCAAATATCATTTCCCTTCACAACTGTTGTTGGACGGCTCACATGTACTCTCGTCCCGCCCTGGGAATCATCCTTATCCTCTGTTTTGGAGGCGCAATTCCATCCATCGGTTGGACATTCCTCCAGCACCTCCTTCTTCACCTCAGCTGCTTCCAGGGCTTTTGGGTTTTTGTCATCCAACTTCATGAATTGTGAAGCAATGCAAGGAAAAATGACGCTATCCTTCTCGCACCACGCCTCGGCAACGGCAAACACTTCACCATTCATCTCAACAAGACTGGGAGCATGGAGAGGACTCACTTTTTTCTCTCCATCTTTCACATCTCTCCAAACGAAACATTTCCCCGATGAAGAGCCCTGACGTCACTCTGATCCTTCAGCAGCCACAGCCCCAACACTGTTGCAGCACAACATCGCAAGAAGAATAAAAAGGGGCACCGCAGAGTAGAAGAGATGCCGGGACATGTTGGGCATCCGCCGCTCACTCTCTCTTCCTTCCCTCCTCCTTCCGCTGGATCCGGTCACGCGGCGACGGTTGTGTGTGCGGGGTGCCTTCACTGCAGCAACACGTGAGAGTATATAAATATGTGTGGGCGGTGTGTGTGCTGTTGGTCCTTTCAGTGCCTTCGAATTTCACAGTAGCGATTAGCGCTTGGTATTAACTTCTTTCCTTTGTGTGTGAGTGGTTTAGAAAAAAGAGGAAAAAGAAGTGAAACACACCGTCACCCATCCACACTGAGCGGCATCATCATCCGCACCGCATTCACTCCCAACAACGACGACAACTCGCGCGCACAGACACACGGAGCGAGAAGGAAGAACAGTGCAAAGAGAACACACAACGACTGTTGCCACCAGCAGGAGCCACGGCTGGCGCTTCTGCCACGCGTCAGCACTCTCCGAGCTACGCCGACACACAAAACAATCAGCGAGATGCAGAAGGGTACACAACTGCCCTTCGCAACACCAACGCGCCATCGCCAGTCGTTTTACTGTTGTCTCTTCCCACACCCTCCATCGCACATCGCCCCGCACAGCCGGAGAATCCTCCGTCGCTGTACGAACAGCGGGAGGAACACGTCGGCACGTGCAGCTGCCAGGAGAGAATCCATACGCATATCTCCCAGGCTCCCTCAATGCCGCGCCGCCCACGGGCAGCACGCCAAGAAAATCACGCTCGCAGCACGGCAAAAAATAAAATCGCAGTCTTCCGTCATCCCTCCTCAAAAGGGCCGCCGCAGCCAAAATCTTGTGCGTGTGCGCGTTCTCATCATTCACGCCGCTCCACAGCGTGTGCATGTGTTTGTGTGTTTGTCAGCGCCTATACTTGCAGAGCAGATGTGCAACACAAGAGAGTCAAAAAAAGGCAACAACAGAGAAGCGGATAGCACACACGCAAATTACTCATATCATCACACACACAGGCAGCCCGCGGAATGGGTGCACTCAAACAAAACACAAGTAAAACAACGGAAAAAACAAAAACAAAAAGACAAAGCGTGGAACGACCAGCGCACACACTCTCATTGCTCCCGTAAAGCAAAACACACACACACAGGGAGAGAGAGAGAGATCGCCCACTAAAAGCAATAAAAACAAAACAGTTACGGTGCTCCGCCCATGCAGCCAGGCAGGACGGCAGCGGTGCGTGTCGTGCAGAAGAGAGCACCAACGGGCCTGCATGGGTGTGCATGCATATATACAATGGGCACATTATGTGTGTGCTTCGTGGGGTGAGGTGAGGGCGAGAGTCCATGCAAGGGACACACACAGAGAGTGAGTGAAGGACGAGTGTGTGTGCGGGCGGTGCACGGCTCTCTCTCCCTCACTCTCACGCGGCCACCACCGCAGCAGAAGCCGCACACGCAACAACAAGAAGAAGCAAAAGAGGGGAGGTGGTGTGGGAGACCGCGGTGCTGCCGTCACTGTCGCCAGTCGTCGCCGTTGTAGTTTTCATAGCTGTGGCCGTCACTGGTGTTTCTTTCGGATTGGGTTCTTTATTTTCATTTTGTTTTCCTTCCGCTGTCCCTGCAACATCAGCTGCTGGATCATCGTCCCCAGTTGTTTGTGTGCTGTTGGGATTTGTTATCTTCGATGCTCCCTCCGCACCAGAAGATAAACTTGGCTGCTCTTGACCGCCTGCTGAGATCCCCTCCGTGGTGCCGGTAACAGGTTCTCTCTCTTCTTCGTTTTTTTTCTCCTCTTTGTCTTCCTCTTTCTCTTCTTTGTTTTCTTCTTTTTCCTCTTTGTCTTCCTCTTCCTCCTTTTTTTCTTCCTTCTTTTTACCTTCTGTATTTTGACCCTTGTTGTCCGTCGTTGCACTTGCCGTTTCTGACGCTTCTCCTCCGGATTGTGGTGCCGGTGACGGGCTCGCTGGCGCTGCCGGTAATCCTGACGTCGTTGGTGCTGGTGCTTGTGGCGCTGCCGGTTTACCGTTTTGGACAACTTCTCCTGCGACACCTGTGGTCTCTCCTTCGTTTTGAGTGTTCCCGTCGGACGTATTACCCGGAGAAGCCGGAGAAGCCGGAGAAGTTGTTTCAGCTCGTCCACCACCGCCGGCACCGCACCACAGCACGCAGAGGGCACACACCAGCAGCACACGGCCAGTCATCGTCATCACGGCTGCACACACAGTCTAGGGAGGGGCAAAGAAAGGAGGATGAGAAGAACACACACACACACATCAGCAGCGTGGAAAAGGAGGAGTGGCGTTTGCATGAGGGTTGTTGCCATGAGCATGGGAGACGCGTGCACGCAGGAAGAACAGGCAACAATGAAACACCGGACAGCACGGCACACAACTCCATGGCATGTAAAACCCACCCACAGCTGCCCCAAAATGGACGGGAAAGAAAGCGCAACAGTACGGCAAGAACACAGTGATGCCGGTGCAGAAAAGGATCCCAAAACGGCGTGAAAAAAGAAACAAAAAACAACAGTCTTCCCCCACAGCGGCCACATCCAACAACGCAACAAATAATAACAGAAACAAACACCACACACGGCAACTCACAGCGGCAGTGAGTTCCCTGTCGCCAATCTTCATGGCTGCACGCTACCGAACTCCTCGTGAGTCCGTCGCTCCGCTGCCTTCTTCCTTCCCGCGGCTCCACCGCACGAACAGCCACGCCGCCCCCAACGACCCAACAGTCAACCGCCCAACGACTGTTGCTGAAACCACACACCCGCAACAAAGCACGCGACACAACATCGTCTCACGTGGAACCCGCCGACGGCAGCACGTCATGTCAACCGCTTGGCCTGCACACGGTACAATCGATCGACGGAACAGAGAAGTAAGACAGGCACTCAATCAAGGACTCTCCACACACACAGCCCTTTTGATGGCGCCGCTGCTGCCACGTGCACGGTACCCGAGCAGAAAATAAAAAGCAGTAAAAAAGCCTCGCAAGAGAGAAACAATCCACACGTCCATATGCAAAGCGCCACTCAGGCTGCTGCGGCTGCAGGGTCCGTGGGCAGAAAAGCGCCTTACTGAATCCCGCCAGTTATGTCAGTCTGCCCTCCCACCAATGTAGCGCATAATCCACGGTGTGCGTCCACAGGCATCCACTCCCGGTGCCCTAGCAACACCTCAGAACACAAATAGTCGAGAAGGGAAATATCATTACACAATGCCAAAGCAGATAAATAAAAATAAAAAAGTAAAAACCACACAGATCCCTCGCACACGCACACAAACACCCCACAGTATCCTTCAGAAGAAGTCAAACAATTTGTTGTTCCCAAACCCATTAAAAACACGCGTGGTGCCGACACATTAGCGACCAACTCAAAAAAGGAAAAGTGCATACAGCATGTCCTTGGTACAAATTATACAGACAAGCAGAGCGTATATATATATACTGATAGGAACATGCCAATTGATATGGGCCTTTCTCTCTTGCACCCGCTGCTGAGTGTTGGCACCCCACCGCCGCTTCATCCTCCCTCGGCGGAGGGTCCACGGCGCCCTGCGCGGCATAAGCGGCATCAGGGCCCTTGGGTCCCGTGGCTGCGGCACCGCCACCGGCCTTGTCGCTGGCGGCCTCAACTCATACTGATTGTCTGGCAACAGACGTCACACCATCGGCGGCCACATCGTCGATGTCCGGAAGATCGCTCTTCTTCTCCGCCTCCTGCGGCGCACCCACGGTGTCGCTGGGCAAGAGCACACCGTTGCCGTCGTTTCATCGGGGGTGACTTCCTTCTCCTCTGGCGACGGATGCTTCTGGGGAGCAGCCGTGTCTACATCCTTCGGTGGTGTGCCACGGCCGGTCCCAATGCTCTCCGCAACGGGGACGGATGCCAGTAGCAAAACTTGTTCAGTATATGCCGGTGGGACCGTCCTGCCCCACACCCTCTCTCACATTGCCACCCCACGGAACCATTGGAAGCAGCCTGCCGCTGGTGACGGATATCGTGCACACCTGCGCGTGGTCACGGAAAATAACGTTTCCCTCATCGTAGGGTGGAGCAACCCACGTAATCGTCGCCCCGTCCGTGCATGGGGCACAACGGGCGTTACCCTCTTCAGTCACTCTCAGATGCACCTGCATGAGGAGGCACCGCAATGCCGCATGCATGACAGCACGGAGGTGTATGTTTCTTCCGGGTCCCTCGCATCTGTCGTGTTGGTGGGAAGCGTGTCCAGACACCACGAAGAGGACTTGTCCCCGGGCACCGCAGACAAATATTCTCCCCTCCAAATAACAGCGGCAGCATCCCTCTCATAAAGTGCGGGACCACTGATGGGGCAACTGTCCATCGGGCGCTTTGCTGACCCTTCATGGATACTCCGTCTACACACCAACCACTTCAATACCAATCCGACGTGCAGCGTCTGGCAGGAACTCCCGCTTTTCAGAACATCTGGGGATATTCACTCATTTGCAGTGCGGAGCACTTCCTCTGCAGCAGTGCACAGTTCGAATTCCTCCACCAACGCATCGGCTCCGCCATATCCCACTTCACCCTCATGCAGCCCAGGTCAGCCGATGCGGCCAGCGTCAGCTCCGTGCAGCAGCCCGCACAACCAATCGGTGCCATCCACCCATCCTTCGCGTGGCGCTGCAACCGGTGCGACTCCAGCGTCCTCCCGTCCCCATCGCCATCCTGCAGCTCGATGCCATCAATGTCGTCGCAGTCGTGGTGCTCCCTCGCAGGCATCGCGGCAGTCGTCGAGTGCACCACTTCCTACAGCGCGCTGCCACACACCGGTAACATGTCAGCATTGGCAACACCAGTGGAACAATGCCCAGCACGCACCGTAAACCGAATGCAAACGCTGCCCGTGGCAAATGGGGGCACAATCAAAGGATCCTCCAGTGGCTGCACGAGCAGACGATCCGCATGCAGTTTGAAAGCAGCAGTGACAACTTCATTCTCGAGAATGATGCCGTGCGCAGAGGATACAACGTCACCTTCACACTCGCAATTGTCATTCGATGAATTCATTGCTTAGTACCGCTCTGAGATGTAATACTTCCTGGTATCATCCAGGTCCCTCACGGATACTTTGATGCGGATGGGCGCCCATCCATCCCTCCCAATGACGGTGTACGTCGGCAGCTCACCCAATGCTCCAAAAGGGCACGTCCCTCACAACGACTCAAATCAAACTTGCGCTGTCGGCACGCATCACATAGCCAAGGATCGAGGGTACGTCAAAGTGATAACAAAGCACCCGCTGGCAATCACACCACAAACATCATCACATGCAGCAGCACCAGCGTCTCAAACTACTTTGGGGTGTAGAGCAAGTAAGCCATTGATGTGGGTGTTAGGCAAATTTTTCGTGGCTTGCTGAAGCAACAAGGACCGATTGCATGGGAAGAAACAAAGAACAGGTGAATACAAAAAAGAATATTCAGCCATCTGCAGTTCAAGAAGAAAACCAATCAATAAAATTAAAATGAGAGCACCCAACCACAACACAACAGAAGCAAAGATTCAAAACAAAAGAGAAAGAAAAATGCCGAGGCGTGGGACGACCAGCGCACACAAACTCTCATTGCTCCCGCAAAGCAAAACACACACACAGGGAGAGAGAGAGAGGTCGACCACCAAAAGCAATAAAAAAAACAGTTACGGTGCTCCGCCCATGCAGCCAGGCAGGACGGCAGCGGTGCGTGTGGCGCAAAAGAGAGCACCAACGGGCATGCATGGGTGTGCATGCATATATACAATGGGCACATTATGTGTGTGCCTCGTGGGGTGAGGTGAGGGCGAGAGTCCATGCAAGGGAACACACACAGAGAGTGAGAGAAGGACGAGAGTGTGTGCGGGCGGTGCACGGCTCTCTCTCCCTCACTCTCACGCGGTCACCACCGCAGCAGCAGCCGCACACGCAACAAGAAGAAGAAGCAAAAGAGGGGAGGTGGCGTGCGAGACAGCGGTGCTGCCGTCACTGTCGCCAGTCGTCGCCGTTGTAGTTTTCATGGCTGTGGCTTCGACTGGTGTTTCTTTCGGATTGGATTCTTTATTTTCGTTTTGTTTTTCTTCTGCTACCCCTGCAACATCAGCTGCTGGATCACTGTTCGGGATGCCGTCTTCAGTGCTCTTGTCAGAATCATTATTGGCGGCATCACCGTTTGCCGTGGGTGAAGGTGGCCCTGATTCTCCATGGTCGGCAGATGGCTCATTCTGTTGATTGGCTGCGATGGTGGCAGCGCTTCTTGTTTGTGAATTGTTGTTTGAGTCCTTTTCGCCTTGGACTTCTTCTGGCTGTTGCACGTCCCCTAAAGTCTCAGGGCTGGAATCCCCATTCACTTGCGTTGTTGCTGTTTGTAATTCTGCCTTATTGGTTGGACCTCCAGGTGTCTCCGTTGGTGACTTATGACCCATTTTGTCGTTTTTTGGTTCTTCTTCGTTTTTCACCAGTTCTTCCGCCTCTCCTTCACGACCGTCAGATTCACTGCGAATATCTTCTTCTTCTTGCGACCGGCTATCGGAGGTTTCTTTACTTTCGGAATTTTCCTTCAAAGCGGGTTCTTTGACACCCTCAGTGCCAGAGCTGCCGGATGAAGAAGAAGACAATTGATCAGCTGTTTGTTGTTGGGAATCAGCTTCACTAACGTCCTCGTGATCCTTCTTATCTCCTGCTACGTTTCCATCATTTGTATCCACCACTTCTAATCCCCTATCCTGTTCTTCTGTACCTGATCCTCCAATCGTCGGTGCTGCTGCTGCTGCTGGTTGATCTCCGACACCGACATCATTTCCACCTAAACCAGGCGCTCCTCCTCCCTGATTATTATCAAGCGATGTTTCTTTCGGCTCACCCGGTGGGAGTGTAACACTCAATCCTTGTCCAGCTTCCGCAGCTTCAACCGCCTTTATTAATCCCATTCGAGTGGACAACAACCCGCAGTCCGCCTTTAGAGGCACGCCGTCATCTCCACCATTACTCGTGTGCCTCAAACCGTTCCCTCCACCCTCACTGCAGTAATCGTCCATCGCGTGTCCAAACACCGCACCGCACCACAGCACGCAGAGGGCACACACCAGCAGCACACGGCCAGTCATCATCATCATCACTGCTGTCAATTGCGTGTAGCCTTCAGCACAAACTAACAACACGTCAACGCAGAGTGAAAGCAAAGAGAGACATGTCACACAGCCACGCACCGTCCCATCCAGCAATGAGAGTCACGCACCACAACAACAACTGGGTGGGCGTGGTTCAACAACAATCAAAAAACAACAACCAAAGAATTAATCCTCGCCGTACACCGTTCCTCACACCCCACAGTCACTACAACCGTTATTCCTTCTCGTCAGGCCCTCACAGGCACGCCACGCTCACTCCAGCACGCGCCCCTCCAGCACAGGCCTCGGGATCGTCGGGCCCTCCCACCGCACGCAGCCGTCATGCGCTCCCGCTGCGCCGCAACGTACGCCACCTCCTCCCAGTCCAGCAGCTCCGTGTCCGCCACGTCCCTCACAATTGCCGCCATGCCACCGCCACGCACAACACACACAGCGCCACAATGTCGTGCCGCCACTCTTCCCCAATCATGAGCGCAACACCCAACGCGTACTCGCGCACGTGCCCCATGCGCTGCAACAACACGCGGATCAGCCCCACCGTCATGCACCGCATCTCGTTGTCCTTGTGGTTGGAGCAGACACTCCCATCCTCTCAATCCACGGCCTGGTGCTGCAATAGGCTGCCGAGGGGAGCCACGTGTGTGTGGAAGACCCCAATGCGCGGGGCGCAGTTGGCAGCCACCCACGCTCAGTTCCTCGCACCTCCCCGCTCCCTCCAATCGCCCACACACAAGGGCGGTGCCATGGGAGAGAAAGAGAAGTCCGCCGCACAACACATGCACAAATGCACACGCAGCAGCAACGCCATCCACGTCGCACTGCAAGAAAGATCCATGCGCACCGCACACACACAACCGCAGGGAAAAAGGGACGGAGCGCATCCAAGAACAGAGCACACTCCTTCACTTCCCTCTGCCCTTACAAATTGGCATGGCGCCTCACAGCAGGTTGTGGCGGATTAGTGTTCCACAACCACAGTGAGGCACGGCGCACACCATCCGCTCCCCTCCGAGTGCACTCAGCAGGCCGGGGCAGGGCGCCCAGTCACCCTCGTGCCATCGCAATGGGGAGCACAAACAATCGTCGTCGCGGACCATCGGTGCCTCTAGCAGGGAAGAAAGAGAAATGGAGGCATGTCAGCAGCACAGCCAGCAGAGCGACACTCAACGGGACACGGCAACACAAAGCGACGGTGAGCACAGCACAAACGGAAACAAGCCGCAGCGAGATACCCAAAAGAAAAAAGAAAAAAAGGGGTGATTCATGCAGAACCCACAAAATTAAATAATTGTTCAGGCAGGACTTTTATTTCTTGTGCCTAGAAGCACATGACAGCCGTGTGCATACATTTTGCCCGCACAAAAAATGGAAACTAAAAAACAGATCTTGCTGTTCCACGAGCCCACACAACACCCTTCACACGTCATGCGGCATGTGGCCTGTTCCTCCAGTCCTCCTTTGTGCACTCCGTGGGAAACACAGCAGTGAGGCCGGCACCGCGTGTGGGCAACAAATGAAAACAAAAGGGGAATACGTCACTCGTGACGGTGTACAGCTCCAACCATTAGAAGAAAAAAAATTATTAAAACAAAGCACCAACATCAAAAAACAATGAAAAAACAATCAAATACAAAAAGAAATGTGCAGGCGTCACCACACAAAAAATTAAGGTTAATGGGAATATGCCCACAAAACAACAACACAAATAAAGATTCAAAAAAACAAAATGAAAAAGCCGAAGCGTGGGACGACCAGCGCACACACTCTCATTGCTCCCGTAAAGCCCAATAGGGAGAGAAAAAAGTCGCCCACTCAATGCAATAAAAACAAAACAGAAACAGTTACGGTGCTCCGCCCATGCAGCCAGGCAGGACGGCAGCGGTGCGTGTGGCGCAAAAGAGAGCACCAACGAGCCTGCATGGGTGTGCATGCATATATACAATGGGCACATTATGTGTGTGCTTCGTGGGGTGAGGTGAGGGCGAGAGTCCATGCAAGGGGACACACACAGCAATAGTGAAAGACGAGTGTGTGTGCGGGCGGTGCACGGCTCTCTCTCCCTCACTCTCACGCGGCCACCACCGCAGCAGCAGCCGCACAAGCAACAACAAGAAGAAGCAAAAGAGGGGAGGTGGTGTGGGAGACCGCGGTGCTGCCGTCACTGTCGCCAGTCGTCGCCGTCGTAGTTTTCATGGCTGTGGCCGTCACTGGTGTTTCTTTCGCATTGGATTCTTTATTTTCATCTTGTTTTCCCTCTGCTGTCCCTGAAACATCAGCTGCGGGGTCATCGTCTCCAGTTGTTGGTGTGCTGTTGGGATTTGTTTCATTCGATGCTCCCTCCGCACCAGAAGATAAACTTGGCTGCTCTTGACCGCCTGCTGAGATCCCCTCTGTGGTGCCGGTAACAGGCTCTTCTTTCTTTGTCTCCTCTTCATTCTCTTCCTTCGTATCATTCTCTTCCTTCGTATCATTCTCTTCCACTTCCTTTTCCACTTCCTCTTCTTCCTCTTCTTCTTCCTTTTTTTTCTCCTCCTTTTGTTCTTCATTCTTTTTATCTTCTTTGTTTTGATCCTCGTTGTCCGTGGTTGTACTTGCCTTTTCTGATGCTTCTCTTCCGGATTGTGGTGCCGGTGACGGGCTCGGTGCCGCTGCCGGTAATCCTGACGTCGTTGGTGCTGCTGCTTGTGGCGCTGCCTGTTGATCGTTTTGGTCACCTCCTCCAGCGCCAACGACGGTCCCTTCTTCGTTTTGAGTGTTCCCGTCGGACGTATTATCCGGAGAATCTGGAGGAGGTGTTTCAGCTCGTCCACCACCGCAGACACCGCACCACAGCACGCAGAGGGCACACACCAGCAGCACACGGCCAGTCATCGTCATCACGGCTGCACACACAGTCTAGGGAGGGGCAAAGAGAGGAGGATGAGAAGAACACACACACACATCAGCAGCGTGGAAAAGGAGGAGTGGCGTTTGCATGAGGGTTGTTGTCATGAGCATGGGAGACGCGTGCACGCAGAAAGAACAGGCAACAATGAAACACCGGACAGCACGGCACACAACTCCATGGCATGTAAAACCCACCCGCAGCTGCCCCCAAAATGGACGGGAAAGAAAGCGCAACAGTTCGACAGGAATACAAAGATGCCGGTGCAGAAAAGGATCCCAAAACGACGTGAAAAAGAAACAAAAAACAGTCCTCCCCCACAGCGGCCACACATCCAACAACGCAAATAATAATAATAATAATAATAATAATACACAATTCAAAAAAACACTCTCAACAACAACAACGACAAAAATAATAATAATCGGGCGATTCACGGGGGAAGGGAATAGTGCCGCGCCTCTGTTTGCAGTGCTTCCCTGGTGTCACGTTTCCATTGAAGTCCTGTGAATCTTAAGAAATATTCCCCCCGACTCGCTGTCATTAAAGTTCTCCAAGAAGGCAGCCCGAGGGTTTTTATGCGCACAAGGGTCCGCAGAAATCTCTTTTCAGCCCATTTTTACAATCGTTTGGCGCAACCTCCTGTGTCGTGATACACTCCAGATGGTGGGGGTTAGTCTGCGTATATCCTCCCAGCTCACCGCAAGTCTTATGCAAAGTCGATACCCAAAATCTGTCTTTGTCGTAGAAATGCTTGTATTTTTGCTTCTCTAACTATTATTATTATTATTATTAGTGTTTGTGTGTCCTCTTTATATGTATGTTTAAATGTATATGCACGAATAGGTGTGAGGATCAGTCCCCCCCCAATGCAAACTTCTACATGTGAGTCATTGCTCACCTCCCTTCATTGGCTCTTTCTCGCAAATTTAGATACATACACGGAAGACAAAAGAGGGACAGGAAACTGACATGTCGGTGAAGAAGACGCAAAGAACATGTGCATTTACCCTCTCGTCCATGCTTCCGCAATATATATATATATATATATATATTACATGTGTATACGTGTCAGTGTATTTGTATAACTTGAAGAGGTTGTCAACCTCACCATACACAAATAAATACATAACTGTGAGCATATATTTTAATATTTACATATATACATATGTAAATGTATTCACTAAATGGTAACAATGCAAGTTAACAAATAAAAGAGCGCAAAAATAGAGGTGAGTGGGATGGAAAAAAAAAAAAGTAAAAGACACATCAATCAATAAATAAGAATAACACCAACAAAAGTCATTTAAAAAGGATTTCTTTGCCAATTTATCTCTCTCTCTCTCTCTTTCTTTCTCTCTCTGTGTGTGTTCCTATGTTGTTTTCTTCACTTTTTTGCTTCTCCCCATTTCTACATGCTAGTTGCTTCCCCCTTCACGATCCCTTTTTTTTTGTTTTGTTTTGTTTTCTTTCTGCTGCTTCTTGCGGCAAAGTGTAAAAGCCATTCCTAAAGCCTTCGCTGTTGTCGTTGCCGCGGGAAGGACTTCCGCCGTGGTTCCTCAGTTGTTTTGAGCTGCGACAGCGATGACGTTTGCAAAGACGTTGGTTTGGCAATCGCATTCGTCAGCTGTGCCATGTCCCTCGTAGGACGCGGCAGAGTCGCCGCTTTAACTGAAACTTCTTGTTTGGTCCGCTGCTGAAAGGGGCGATCGTCGTTTGGTTGCACCGCAGACGAGGTTGTGGTGTGACGTGTGTTTTCTTCGTCTGTCGGCACCGTCGTTGCTGCAATGGCGGGCTGCACACACTGAAGTTCGTAGCGCTGCCACGCCTCCCGCAGCCTCACGTCAACGATGTCCAGTGAAGGCTCGGCATGTTTGCTTCCCTCCTCCCGCATCGGCGTCTGCTTGGATGGCAGCAATGAGTAGGGGAAAAAATGGGTCGCCACAAACGTCCAGCTCTCGCTGTGTAAAATTGGGTATGTTATCGCGAGGGCACGCATGAAGGTCGTCAGCGTGGCTCCTTCCCCGGCGACGGAAGTCAACAGGTGACGATAACGCCTCAACAACGATGTTTGCGTCGTGTCTGTTTTCACAGATAACAGGCAGTAATGCGTCATCGCCTCCTGCCAGCGCCACCAAAAACCGAGTGGCGACTGCTCCGTGAGACGACGTGCCTCCATTACCTTCCTGACGTTTTCCCGCTCTGCCATGACCGCCCGCTGTGCCGCGAGGCCCTTCTTGGACTTCATTTTTTTGTGCTGCGGGGCAGGTGATGCGACGTCCCCCGCGGAACTCGCCAAGGCGACGCTGGTTTGGCACATAGAGGGCACTGCGGAAGCCTCCAAGCTCTCCCTGCAAGTGTCCCCATCTCTCTTTTCGGCACCATCGCTGTCACGAGAGCGAGCAATGACGAGGTCCGCCGAGGTGCTCCGGAAGAGTGTCTGCGCCAGTACAAACCACAGCCGCATTGCCGGCGGCGGCAGAAGAGCGACATCGGTTACACGCTCATGCGCTGGGAGCACGTCAACGCCACCATTATCATTATCATCATTATTATCAGCATCATCCGCACTCTGAGCATAATCACTGCAACTTCCATTCGCTTCCTTCTTCGTGTTAGCTGCACCAGCGTCCCCTTCCACGCGCAGCCGCCACTCGTAAAAGGTATCCCCACCGATTTCCTCCGCATGAAGGAAAGGTGCTTTTTTCCCTCCATGCGTTGCCTCTCCCCTTCCTTCTCCCTTATTAGGCCCACTGAGCATTTGTTCTACCCACGCGGGAGCAAGTGGGTGACCCACAAATTCCCGTGCCGCATCACTTCGCTTCACTGCTTCACGTGTACACGCCAACGCTTCATCCGCAGCGTACGTGTGAGAAAACATAGAAGCCGTTCCAGGCGCTAGAGAAAGCGCATTAAGAATGTGACATAGAGTTCCGCGCAGTAGCCAACAGAGTGACTGCGATTGGCGTGCACGGGTGCCAATAGCGCCATCAGCGGCGTCGCACAACTTGAATAGCCGCGGCTGCACAATTTTGTCAAGGACGTCACGAGCCCGAAGGCACATCGCAATTGACGATTCCACCGTTTTTTTTGCTATTGTGTCGTCCCCGCTTGCATATGGAATACGCATGATCACTAGTGGCCGTTCCTTCATCTCCAGCAGCTCAAGAAATACTGAAAAGAGAATACCCGTCACCACTTGCTCCAGCAACAACATTATCCGTTCGCTGTCTGACCTCATAACATCTTCCTCCCCTAATGCAGCTTCAAATTGAAGCCACATATCATACATATCAAAATCTCCTTTCTCCATTGTTTTTCTCTCGGAAAATGCTGGGGATGATGCTATAAAGCTACGCAAAAGCTGCTTGGCTTTGCGAACACCGTTTCGGTCACAAAAGGATAGTACAGCGGCGTGCAGGAGGACTACATACGCGTTTTCTGGTTCCAGAAGCCGTAGTGCCGCCAGAAGATGGACACAGACGTCAAGACCCTGCCTTGCCAGCAACTCCATAACCCTTACAACTTCAGCATGATGTTTCTTTTCATCATCTACCGTAAATTTTTTTGTTTGCTCTCGCTGTGTAGCAGATGTCGACTGTATGGATGCAGACGTTGAAGCAGAAACAGAAAAAAGAAACCCCACAGCCACTTTTAATTGTTGCTGCGCAACATGGTACCCGACGCATAGAGCTTCTTGTGGTGATGTGGACAAGGCTTCGTTCGGCACGAGTAGTGGAGCGGCGCAGAGATGGGCAGTGCTCACCACATTCACTAACTGCAAGAGATGCAAACTCACCCAACAGCCTTGAATGAGGCCTTGCGCGATGCAAAGGGAGCATCCAGGTGTGAGGGTCTCCACGGTGCCAAGAACGACGCACGGGTCGTCGGACTCCGTCATAGTCGCTTCAGCAAAAGTATTGGAGCCACTCGACGATTCCGTCTGTGGCGTGTTGTTCTTCATAACTCCCATGACGGTCATAAAACGAGAGTCATTTAGGCGAGGTGGAAGGGAGGACGTCAACTGGGATGCCGATGACGAATGTGAGGAGGAGGAGTTCTTTCTGCAACCAATGCGTCGCTGGCAATGACTGGCGTGCCGTGGGAGACGTGCATGATACCGCCCACGAGCCCGTAGCGTCTCAAGAAGAGCGTCTTCATCCACCTCGTTCAATTCATGCCACGCTGAGCCAAAAACCACATTCACCACACCACCCTGACCAAAACCCCCGCTACTTCCTACAGCGTTCCCTAACGCCTCTCGGCTTGAATTCACATAGGAACCAAATTCCCGTTTTCTTCCCAGTCGTGTTGACCCTCCATACAGGCGTACCTGTTTCTCCATTTCCAAGAGACTCACCTCTCTTGCCTTCTCATCCCGCAGCAACTCCCAGAGCCCCCATCGTACTTGTTGCTGCTGCCGTGGGAGAAAATTTTGGCACTGGGCAGATTCAACAAACCGTGCGAGTTCCACGCTCTGTTGAAGCGCAGAATCCAGTGGGGCGTCAATGTGATTGTAACAGTCCCCTAAAAAATGCAGAAATTGCCTCATGAGACACGGTGTGGGAGAAGTGGAACTACCACCACCCACAGCAGTAAAGGAGGCATTTGTTGGCATCACAGATGCCGACGTGGCCAATGGTTCTTGTAGGTGCTTCAAATCTTCCCCGGCTTCCGTTTGCCGCTCCGTCCGCCCAAAGTCGTGCATAAAAGCACACACGCACACTCACTCAAACAATCACTCACTTCTTCCCTAGCGGCCGGCAATGACAACTTGTCGCATCGCAACAAAAGAAAAAAAAAAAAAAGAAAAAAAGGAGGGAAGAGAAAAGCAACAAAGAAAAACTGAAATTGACTTTCACGGAAATGAATATCAGTCATGCAACCACAACAAATATACACCAACCAAAGGAAATGGACACACAGACACACACAGACAGACAGACAGACAGACACATAAGTACAATAAAAAAGGGCTGTTTGCTTTGCTGTACTTCTATTACTCTCTCTCACTCACTTTTCTTTTTTTATCTTTTTATTAATTAATTATTATTTTGAAAAAAAAAAAGAAAAAAAAAGTAAAGAAGAGGGGCGTTCGTTTAATTTCTCCTTCCGCTTCTTTCAAAGACATAACAATACCTCACACCCCACACCCCACCCACCTACCTCTCTCCCCCTCATAAAAGAGACACAGACGTACACATATGTTTTTACATACATATGCACAAGTAAGATGCTGCTGAAAACTTTCTGTTTTGTTCGTTTTCCCCCCATCCCTTCAATCTTCTTCTCATGCTGTACGACTTTATTTACACACACATATATATATATACGCACCATCCCCAACCTGCTGCATCGCCATGACTCACTCACACTCCCGTAAATTCTTTTTTAAAATTATTATTCCACTAGATGGCCACATGAAATCTCACAGAAACAAACACGCACACACACGCACACACACACAAAAAAAAAGAACAGAAAAAAAACATTAACGCTCAAAAAACAGCAGAAATAAAATCAGAATTCGGCAGTTTGCAAGAGGGAGAGGGCAGAAAGCAAGAGGGATGGGAGGAGGAGCAACAAAGAAAGAAGAATACAACCAAACGGCCTCGGAAATGAATAAGGTCGTGCTTGCATGTGCATAAAAGAACAGACAAGAGGTACAAAGGATTGAATAAATAGAAGAATTCAGTCGCCGTACTGCCAACAGTACAAAAATAAAAGGTTTTTGCGCAGTAAAAAAGAAACAGAAAACAAAAAAAAAAAAAAAAAAAGAATAATCTTCCGGGCAGCTGGCCAGATCCTGAAATTATCTATTTAAACCAAACAAGTCAAAAAAAAAAAAAAAAAAAAAAAGGGGGTTATTTATTTAATTTTTTCAATATTTTCTTTTCATTCAATTATATATAGAATTCTGTGGACCGCTAGCATGGTCCTTTGTCCTTACTTAGGATTTGAAGTATTTATTACTTACGAAGTGGCAGACTTTGGGGCTCTCCAACCACAAGACCCCGCCGCGTGGTGGGAATCAAAAGGGGGTGGGTGGGATGGCAAAATAAAAACAAATATTATCTGGCCTCTATCGGCTCCCTGCCCCTACAAAGTCGCGTTCTTCCCAAAAGATTCATACGGTAGAAATTATCATAAATAATGCACTCATTTATCAGGATGTACATTCATTCATTAATTAATTTAGCCGGCTCTCCCACGACCATTCTCTTCACAAGCTCCTAATAAATAAATGAAAACAGTTCAAACTCAAAGAAATCCTAAAAAAAAAAAAAAAAAAAAAACGAAGAAAGGAACTTTGCGACAAAGTATCAACAAGAGCAATAAACATCTTTCCCCCCCACCTCCTCCTCCCCTGGCATTCCACCCGTGTAAAACAATAATAATAAAAGAAGAAACACCTAAAACAGTTGCATACAAGCCAGAACCTACTCTCAGCCGCACATGGGCACTGACCCAAAATCAGGATAGTGTGTGTAGCCACCATCAGGGGGGCCGCGGCGCACATGTGCGCCGCAGTCGCTGAATATACACTGGGATATGTGTGTCCACGGAGAATATCTTTACAAAGTAGTTTTGTATTACCCACCCCCAGTCCGTGCCAGGAGTTTCGTCTTCTGCCGGCCTAAACACGGCTTCTGTATAGATTTCTTCCTCATCCTCTCCACCTGGAGGTATTTGTTTTTCCTCCTGGGCCCTGAGGCGGCGTAGCGAGGCATCCGGCTCGGCAATGAACGCACGTTCTGCCGCCGCTTGATTTCTGGAATTATTACCGGCGACTGAACGCCACGTTGGGACAGCAGGAACAGAAACGTTAGTTGTCATGCTGCCATGAGCAACACCCCCTTTATTAAAAGCAGTAGCCGATGTCAAAGCTGACCGACGGTACACCTTCAGCGGGGGAAAGTTGTGTACCACAAGTTCGGAACCACCCTTCAGTAGGTGATATAAGAGAGGAGGCATTGCAACGTCATTTTCCACATCCCCACCGGCCTGAATATTCATGTTCGTGTTGTTTGAGCTGTTCAGGGCAGAATGGATGATTAAGGTACGTTTTGCCGTAAACGTCGCAGGATGTGTTTTTCCCGTGGCGCGGAAGCACACATACCATTTGTCTTCTATGAGCTCTTGCATCGTAATCTTCTGGCGTCGCGCGTCACGAAGTGACATGTAGTATGCAAATTTCCACGAAACCGGTAATTGCATGTCTTCCTCGTCGTTGTCAACTTCGTTCCCTTCCTGCCTCCTCTTATTCCCCTCTGAAATGAGACGCATCGCCTTTTGTTGGGCATGCTGCAGCACGCTTAGAGAGTGTGTTAGGGCCATCTCCTCCTCAAACTCCTGATATGGATTGCTGTCATGCTTCCCATCGGCCTCGCTCTCGTTGTCGCAATCGCCAAGCCCGTCATCCGAGACATCTGCATCCTCCTCAGAACCTTCTTTTTTCCCTTCTTTTGCCTCTTCAGTGGCATAAGTCAATCTCTGTTGATCGGTGTTCGCCGTCAACAGAACCCCTCCTCGCGATTTCCCTGTGCAGTGCAATCCTCTCGCTGTCGCCGTCACCGCAAGTGCGGAAGGAAGCGAGAAAAGCGATGGTTGGTCGCTGTTACTGCTGCCGCTCTCATGGCTTTGGGGCGAATTGAAAGTACCCATCAAAACTTTCTTCTGATGAGCAGTGATGCGTTCTGTCAAAAAGGCACGACTTGTGTCCGTCTCTTCCTCATCCTCGTCAAGCAGCAGGTCGCAGGAATCCTCATGACGCTGCCGACGCTGATTTTGCAGCTCCAACCTTAATCGCCGTCGGTGGAGTTTTTGCTGCATGCAATACAAATGCTGTTGGCGCCGCTCGGGTGCCATTTGCCACCAGTACAGTTTCTTCTTTGTCCTGGACATTTGATCGGTCCCACTCTCAACGGATGATATAGACGAGACGCTGCGCCGCAATGGGGATATCAACGACGCTCGTAGATGGGGCGAGTTTACCGTGCTCATGATCGCATCGTATGTCGGTGTACTCCGAAGTGAAACTCGATCCCACAGTTGTTGCGGCGCACTTCTTGCCCCTATGAAAACACTGTCAATATCACTTGGTGTTGTGGCGAGCGAGGCGGGCCCGCTCTTCCCGCCACGCCCAGTCCAATATGATGGCATGAACAGTTGTTGATGCTCTTGCGAGTGCCGTTCCTGATGATGTTTATCCCCCTCGTCTCTTTCGGTTTCTCCTAATTGAAACATCACCCATTCATGTGTTACTGTCGCAATTTTGTTGTTATTGTTATTGTTGTTGCTGCCGGTGCTGCCGGTGGTGGTGGTTGTGGCGGTGCTGTCGTTCATGTGTGTCCCAATCAACATTTGCTGCTGCATGGCGATGATTTCAAGTTCCTCCCGCCGATGTGCCTCCTCTGTCGCCGCCCACGTCTTCATCACACGCGCAAAACCCTGCTTGCCACGCCACATGGAGAAGCAGGCGGCTTTCCATGCAGTTCGGTCCGACTCGCTGACGGCGTGGTAAAAATACCGACACACGCCAAGCACCGTGCGTAAGTCATCCACAGGAAGGAAATTAAACACGACGTCCAGAATCGGCATTGGAAGCCCACACACGCCATGCGGGTGCATATCCAGAGACGATGCAACATGGAGTGAATGTCTCGTATCGCCGTGGATCAGGTTGGAGACCCCACATTTGGGCCCTGCAGTGTGTATTGCCAGGGGCTGGGAGATGCGGTGAATCGCGGGAGGCGGAACATCGCTGCCCGCACGTCCACTCTTACGAGGATTTCGCCACACGCATCTCCCGCCCGGATTACCATCCGTCGCGGATGCCTCGGCAGCGGCGGTGGCCGTGTTACCACAGCCACTGCTGCCGTCACTGGAAGAAGGCGTACTGACGCCCTCCATGGGCTTCTCTTCACTATATTGTACGTTGTTCTTCCCTTTTTTAAACACCTTTTTTTTTCCCTTCCTTAATTTATTCTTCCCCCCTCCCTTCCTTCCTCTGTGTCCACACGTATGTACTTTTTGCTCTAGAATTAAATTGATATACACCAAAAGTCCTATTCCTAGTTGCTTTTTGTCTTTGTCTCCACCCAAATATAGTTTATATTTCCTTCTTTTTTTTTTTTTTTTTTTTCTTCTCTCTCTCTTGAATATTTTATATTTTTGTTATTTTCCCCTTAAAATTACAAAGAAAAACAAATTTTCCGCCAAGTCTCAGACTGGGATGTGCGTTCTCGCAAGCGAGGCCACTCCCGTAATCACAGACAGACTGGCAGGGGAAAGAGATAAAAATAAAAGGCAGCAATGTGCGGTGGGAGCATGCACCCGCAAGAACCAACAACAAAAACAAAAACATGAATTGAAAAGGAGAGAAAGGAGAAAAAATAGGCATAAACAAGGGAGTACGCACATAAACACACAAACAAGGTGAGAGAGAGATATTCTGTGTGTGTGTGTGTGTAACCCGGTCTCTCTTTCAAATGAAGCAGCGGTGACCTATTAGTAAACTCATCTCAGCTCTCTTCACGCGTTAAACCAATGAGAACTTCCCTTCGTTTCTTTTTTTTTTTTTTTTGTTTATTAATATTATCATCATGACCATCATTGCCGGCTTCTGTTCCTCCCTCTCTTCTTCCCCTTCTCATTCATTTGCGCTTTCGCATTCTCTCCTGTTCTCTCTCCCTCTCTCTCTCTCTCTCTCTCTCTCTCTCTCGCCAGCTGCTGCCGTTCCGCGGGTATATGCGTGCACCCACACACTTTATCTCTGTATCGATTAGTCGTATTTGTCATGAAGGTCGGCAGAAAGTTCATCGATTGATTTTATTCGTTCGTAAGAAGCCTTCGCGCCACCGCCAAACGTGGCAATATCATCCGCATCTTCTTCATCCACGTCCTCTTCTCCGTCCTGTCTTCGTCGCTGTCGCTGCGCCCTCCGTGCCGCCCGCTCCCGTGCAAGTCGTCGCTCCTCACGTTTTTGCTGCTGTTCCTTCGCCTGCATCTCTGCCTCGGAGCGGGCGTGTTCCGCCGCGATCTGCGCTGCGACGAAGGCCTCCCGCTCCTCCGGTGTGAGGTGGCCGAGAGTCTCTTGATACGCCGCTGCTTCCGCTTCGCGCTTGCGACGCGCCTCTGCAAAGCGTTGCTGCACCATCTTCTCTGCACACTCCCGCAGCCGCCGTTTCTTTTCCACCGTCAGTGTCTCTTCCAGCTGCTCCCACTCCGTATCCTCCTCGTCACGAATGGCAACACGTGGGCCTCCTTCCAGACGCACAAGTTCCTCCTTCTGTTTCTCCAGCTCCTTCATACGCTTTTGGCGCTGTTCCGTCTCGCGGCGTCGCGCCTCAGCGGCTTCTTGTTCTTGCCGTCGCTCCTCGGCTGACTTGCCGCGCTCGGCCAAAATGCGGGTGATATCTTCCTCCGACATCCCAAGACGCCGCATATCTTCTGCGGTCAACTCCTTCTTTGGTGCATTCTTCTTTCTGGGTGCCATTCCGGGGAAATGGCGAAGGGTAAAGCTAATAATCAGAACAAAAAAAAAAAAAAAAAAAGGAGAAAAAAGGAGAAAAGACAAAAAAATAAAAATAAATTAAAATAAAAAGTTAGAGACATCGCACATTAGGACTCCTCTCGTTCCTCTTCATTCCTTCTCTTTTGAGGAAATGTTGGCCCCAGGATCAATCAATCCAATTTGTTGATCGTGTCTCCTCCTCAAGTATCCCCTTCCATCTCTTCTTCACCATTTTTCTCTCACACAGGCACACATACTCATGCACCACTCGCGACAGCTTTCGGCACTTCATTGGCCGATTCAGCCTCTTGCAATTGACGGGCTTCAAATCCTGCAAGAAGGCTGTGATGCTGCGCAAGTGTCTTCTCTACTACGCATGACTCATACTGCAAAACTGCATCATAGCAGCGATGCACCGATGGAAACCGTGAGTCTGACGATAATAAAACCCTTCCATCAGCATTATTGCCGCCACTGATACTGCGACCAACGACTGTGGTTTCAGCAAGGTTATCAGTGCTGCCATTCTCACCGTTGTTTGTTTTCCCCAGAATTTCTTCAAAACACCGCAAAACTGCCGCACGAGGAACCTCACAGGGCTTGTTGGAAACCCTAAATGGGGAAGACAGCGCACCGTACATTCGTTCAATACTGGATTGATTGTGTCCCTCAAGCTTCTTATATTCAAGCGCGGCTGCTGTCAAACGTTCTTGGGGAGTGTATTCATCCTTTTCTTTGGCAGCCTTTTTAGAGGTCATACCTCTCTTCTTGACCAAGCGTATAAATAAATATAATAGATATCTATGTGGCGTTAAGTAAACCTAGCTCCTTAATGTGTAACACCACAGTGAAAGCAGAGATGACGGCGCTGTTTTTGGTCCTTCAATAAGGTCTAAAACGCCCCGCAGTTCTCCCCCTCAAAAGAAAAAAAAAAAAAAAACAAGAAAAAAGAGAGAGGAAAAAAAGAGACACAACTCCGAGTAAAGTAGAATTGAGTAATGCGCGTGTGTGTGTGTCACTCAGGATAACCGCAAATTCCATATACCTTTCGGAGTTTCTTTCACAGATTCGCTTATTCATTCTTTTTTTTTTTTTTTACTGCAGAAGCTACGGTTGTTACTGGCTGTAACGCATTCGTGATTTCTTCTGCTTGCGCTCTCGGTTACGCAATTGGGCAGCCTCCTCCCGCGACAAACGGGGCGCTGGCATGTTGTACCGCCCTTGCGGTGGCACAAAACTGCGGATATTACCGTAATAGTATGGGATGTCAGCCGCATGTTGCGGTTTGGCAAGCGGACCGCCAAGAATCGGGGTGACACCGCCCTCGGCACGCCGCAGTCGACGTTGCTTGCGCGTCTCGCCTTTTGCACTGACACCGCCCTTTTGGAGATGTTTCTGTATAGACGTCTCCTCCCACGCATGTGCCTCTTCTACTGCAGCCTGAAACACCGGGTCAAGCAGCGCATGCCGCTTAATTCTTTCCATAACCTCAAGCGATGAGCGCAACGCGGGGTCGCAGCGAGCAACCGCATGTAAAAACCTGTTGGAAGGAGAAAACGCCCGATCCATCATCGCCTCCGTCAGTGACATCTTGCAAGGAAGAGTTTTTGTATCCAAGAAATTGGTATCTTTGGAGAAGCGTTCCCCTAATGCCCCTTGCTTCTCAACTTCTTTCTCTTCACTCTTCTCCGTTTTGTTCAGGGAGGGAGTGATGGTCGAAGGTGCCGACAAGTTAATACTTTGTTTACTTTCTTCGTAGTGCTCCAATAGACGAAGCTCGCTTTCTGAGATGCTCTCATACCGTTTTTCTTGAACTTTTTGTATGACAGGTGCCAAGTCAATATTGGGAAACCCCAGAAAAAGACTCTCGTAAAGTGTTGCCGTAAACTCGGGTATTTCACCGACATTCTGAAGCGCCTCAGTGTTTTCTGCAATGGAGA